AAGGAGATTTGCTTTCTGGCACAAATAGTCTCAATTTCATAATGTAGAGATTAAGAGTCCCTACCTAAAGTCTCCAGCTGCTATGGAACTTGATTCTTTTGTAGAGCAGAGCATAAATGAACGTGAGGCTCTCCCCATAGCCCATTTTCAGTCAACAGGGTGCTACAGGAGGCCAAAAATGGGCCACATGGGGGGGGAGCATGTCAAACCCCCCCCCCGTCTGTTTGGGCCAACAGGGGCTGCGAAGACCTGTCCTTTGATATTTCCAGCAGGCCCCACGGGCCAGATCTAAGCAGCTTGTGGGTTGGAGCCTTGAGTTTGACACCCTGCTCTACACCCTTTCTGACAGATGGCAGTCCAGTCTCCTCTTGAAAGACTCCAGGGATGAAGCTCCCACAACTTCTGAAGGGAAGCTGTTCCACAGAATAACAGAGTTGGAAGGGACCTTGTAGGTCATCTAGTCCAACCCTCAATCCAAGCAGGAGACCTTACACCATTTCTGACAGATGGCAGTCCAGTCTCCTCTTGAAAGCCTCCAGGGAGAAAGCTCCCACAACTTCTGAAGGCAACTTCTGTTCAATGGGTTGATTGTTCTCACTGTCAGAACATTTCTCCTTATTTCTAGGTTTATTTCTATTTTAATCCCAGCCTAGCAAACATGGACACCCCTGGATGTGCATTTAATCTTAAATAACCAGACCAATAATAATAGTAAGAACAAGCATCCTAGAAAGGAGTTCAATCAACTGGCTGGAGAGGCCATTTTCCTAGCCAAGCATGAGCAACTGAGATTGATCTAGGCCAGTGTTTCTCAAACTCAGCAACATGTGGACAACTCCCAGAATTTTGCAAAACGCCATCAGCTTCTGGAATATTCTGGGAGTTAAAGTCCATACATCTTCAAGTTGCCGAGGTTGGGAAACATTGATCTAGGCCACCAAGAGAAGAAATAACTCCTTTTTGGGATTTGAAGGTTGTCCATCGAAGTTAAGAAAAACAAATCACTATTTTTATCCTAATACTCATGAAGCTTTATTTAGCTCTGAATTGGAAGGGAGACATTGGGTGGTGTTAACTTCACACCCGAACCGGTGAAAAAAAAGTCCAAATGAAAGGAGTTGTCCAATCCTACTAAGATTACTGCAGAAGAGATCAAAAAATATAAAACAATACTTTGAAAAACGTTGTTTTTCAACTCCTTGGAGTTTGATGACAAACTGACATCACCAAATTCCTCTTTGACTTAAGAATCTTTTCCCTTAAATGTTCCTATTCTGAAATAGTAAAAGTAAAAGTAATAACAGTACATTTTTGCTACACAAGATGGCAGCACCTGATTGATTTGCTGGTTAAAAAAATATTGCAGGAAAAAAAGGGACCATTAGAAAATCCCAATGCTGTATCTTACGACGACTTCAAAAAAAAAAAAATCTCAGAAGAAAGAAATTGCCAAAAAAATCACTTGAATATACATGAAGCCCTAGACCACTTCAGACAAATGGTTATCCAACATCTTCTTAAAAACTTCCAGTGTTGGAGCATTCACAACTTCTAGAGGCAGGTTGTTCCACTGATTAATTGTTCTCACTGTCAGGAAATTTCTCCTTTGTTCTCTTTGTTCTCCTTTGTCCTTGATTAGTTTCCACCCATTGCTTTTTGTTCTACCCTCAGGTGCTTTGGAGAATAGTTTGACTCCCTCTTCTTTGTGGCAGTCCCTGAGATATTGGAACACTGCTCTCATGTCTCCCTTAGTCCTTCTTTTAATCAAACTAGACATGCCCAGTTCCAGCAACCGTTCTTCATGTTTTATATACAAGCTCACGGCCTTAACATAATGCAATGTTTTAAAAAAGAATGCAGTTTCCCAAATCTACACATACATACCTGTACTCTGCAATAATAAGTAGTTGCAGGGGAAAGTCCCTTCACTTCATAGCACAGCAGAGGGCCAGTATAAACTATATGCATAGATCCCTCCATTTGTCCCCATTCCAGTCTATATTCGCTAACTTCTGCCCCATTACACGGCGGGCTCTTGGAGAAATTAGAAAGGAAAGGGGTGAGAGGTTAACATTTGCATTTATAAACTCAAACGTTCTCAAAAGGGGGCAATAGAAACACACGCATATATATGGGTGGGAGGGACGGAGGTAAGGAAGGAAGGAAAAATAGAAGAGAGGGAATAGGAAAGAAAGGGGGAAAGAAAAGGGAGGGAGAGGGGGGGAAGAAAAGAAGGAAGGAGGGAAGTAGGGAAGAAAGGGGGGAGGGAGGAAGGAAAAATAGAAGAGGGAAGAGGAAAGGAAGTAGGGAAGAAAGGGAGGGAGGGAAAGAAGGAAGGGAGGGAGGAGAAAAAAACCACTTACCTCCCACGTAGCTACTATACAAGTAGCAGTTTTGCACGTTAAGAGGGGGGTGAAACATGGATCAGGGGGCCCTGGAGCTGTAGAGATCTCTGCCTTTTCTGAGGAAGGGCCGAGCTGCATGGAAAAAAATACCTTAAAATTTAAAAAACCGCTGAGAGACACACCAGGTCAATGCATATCAAAGGACTGCAACTATTACATCATCTATGGCTTCCCAACAGATTCTTCAGGTTTGGTGAACAAAAAGATTCTCCAGTCTTCAATGAAACCACCAAATTTAGTTTCGTCTGGCCTTGATTTAGTCTAGGCTCATATGCCAGTTTCAGAGTTCAGACACTGTTCCATGCCTAATCTTGTTCTGCTCCAATATTTGAAGGGCATTAGGTCAAAGGAATACACCTTTGTCTGCAATTCCATCAGTCCAATTTTATTAGTGTATCACAGAATTAAAATATGTGGAAGAGAAAACTATGCTGGATAGATTATCTGCAGAACCCCAAATCTGATCATTGTAGTGCTTCTTCCTGCTAGGCCTCTCTGACCTGGGGCTTCAGGAAGAAACCTTTAAGCCCATTAAGATGAAAACTACATCCTGCTCAAATCTAAGGATCCTAATGTAATCACTATCTGATGAATTGTAGCTCCATAAATAATCCAACCTTCCTGCCTTTTTCTTCCCTCAAACTGCTGGGAAAGTGGGTTGGGGGTGGGGAGGAACCAAGAAACACATCTTTCTCTCCCGCTGTTTTTCTTTCTCCTCTACAGGAGATAAAATTTCCTGCTTTATCAGGCAAATCAGGATGTGGAGTTCCTTAATAACAGTAGACCAAGGATGCAAGTCTTCTCCAAGACTTTGGGTCATGCTCAGCCTCTCCTTCCCGGAGCAGCTTTCAAAATTCTCCAGGATTCTAATTAAAAACGTTTGCAAAAAGCATTTATCTGCTTCCACTTGCTACTGGTTCGCCCAAACCGGTGCGAACCGGTAGCAACTGGAAGCAGATAAATGCTTTTTGCAAACGTTTTTAATTAGAATCCTGGAGAATTTTGAAAGCTTGGGACTGGGTCGGCGAACTGGTAGGAGCGGCAGGCTGGCCACACCCCCAAACCGGTTCCCTAGTCGCCGCTGCCGGCTTGTTTTTCAGTCATTTTTACAGACAACTGCACGCACG